AGGAACTATACCCCCTTCTGTCAGTGATCCAGCCGCCAAGACTAGGTAAGGGGAAAGGTCTGCCTGAGGGATAGTGCTCAACCCCTTTGGTTCTCCTGCCATTCAGTACAGATTAACTTTAAAATCCAGAAAATCCTCCGCCACATACAAATACCCTTAAAATAAGAAGAAACAACAAACACCATTGTACTTATAATGGAGAGCATATACACACAATCAAACCGGATCCAACTGATAATACCCAATAAACCATCCTCATCCCACCCATCCCACCTCAACAAACCACTCCATTCATAATCACAACTTTTACCCCCTCCCCCTCGCCACAACTTTATCCCTGTTTTCAACTCACAAATTACCTTATACCTCACATCCCTACTAGGAAATGCATCATCATGTACACCAAACTCAGTAATTCAGGCACCCTCAAACAGATTCTTAAATCATTCTAACATTTTGTGTCCTTTTTTGACTACCACTGTGCAGATACATTCATTGAGCTGTCCACAATGACTGCCCCTCTCATCTGCAACTCTTTCCCCTGAGTGGTTGCAGTTAATTTACAACCCAGCAATATCTATGAGTAGTTCAAATGGCTCCTTTCATTGTGCCCCGCCTTGTACTTGTTCGACATGACTTTCATGTATTATCAGGTTGCCAGTCACCAAGTCATCCTTCAGGCTCAAACAACAGCTACAGAGCAGCTCTGTAGCCTGTGGGAGGAGAATTTCTCCTTGCAGTGTTCTTCAGTACCTATTTATAGTTACTTGTGCTGGATGCTTGGAAGAAGATTTGATCTATCTTCAACACAGCACCTAGGCCTGACCCTGTGAATTAAACAGCTGACCCTCCCCTTTGTTCCAGAAATAAAATTCAGTATAATTAATTACTCTTTCAATATTTAGATAAGTATATTTTGCTGCAATCAAATCAGCCCATCTCCTCCAAGATTAAATTGTGTTTCTTTCACTTGCAGGGATTCTTTGACCACTTAGTAAAATACTGAATAAAAGGGGATTCACTGGGTGTAATGTACTTGGAGTTTCATAAAGATGTTAAAACTGTCCCTTATAGGGCTGGATATTTTATGCAGATGTCTTGCAGGTATAACTTCTAAGAACCACATTCTGATACCCTTATTCACATTAACTAGTATCTTACTCCCCAAGTAGTCCCATTGATTTTCATGGGACTACTTTTGGAATAAGAGAGTCAGCATCTGGTCCTGAATTTGGCTCCATTTCATCCATGTCTACAAAATGTTCCCAAAATGTATAAATGCCACCACCCATTGGCCCAACTCCTTCCCTTCACCCATCCTGCTGCCCACCCATCCCTTTTGCCATACCATCCCAGCTCCTGGGCCCCAATCACATTTGCAAGGTTCACTTCTATCACTTCTTCCCAACTTCTGGGCGCCTCTTCTGTTTTATCCCTGACTAGCTTGCCTCCTCCTGCCATCCCTGTGACTTTATCATTAAACTTGCCAGAACTTTTCACACCAAGGCTTGATTCAACACGGTTGTTCTAGTTTTCTGATGGTGTAACTCTCTTGAAATAAAAGGCAATACACTGACAAAAACTGGAATAATAGTGGTGAACCAGGAACTAGGTCTACAAATTTTTCCTTTAATGGCATTGTAAAACTCCTAACCTGCACAAGAATCTATTAAGAGAAACACATCCCAGGATAAGGGGCAAAGTTGTATCATATTTTAGCCCCTCTCCTTAATGGTAATAGACGTTGGGGCCTAGCAAATAAGTTTCTGGTTGGAGGACAAATCAGTTATGTAGAGTGTGGGTATTTCCTTAGTACATGTTGTTTATTTTACATTATGTACAACAGTCCTTGAATACAGGTGGCCATAAATAGCCGGCTGGCAAACCTCCCTTTCAGAAATCTCAGGCCAAACACCAGAGCCAACTCTGTACAAAGAACTGATTCTAGTTAGATTAAAGCAGAAAGCAGACTCTCTTGCTGTGTGCAACAGCTCCTCACACAAGACATTACATCACAACACTAACAACTGTACAGCAGGTATTCAAAAACTGCTCACATGATACTAAGAAGAATGTATAAAATTATGTGTAACAGTGCCACCTGGTGATTCCCATCATTACAATATATTCAAACCTAGTTATAGGAAATGGAGTAACAATAAATGGCTGTTCCTCAGAATGGTGAAAAATAAAGAGTGGAATATCTCAGGGTTAGTATTACAGAGTGCTAGCGAAAAACAGGCGACTCAAGCAATACAAGGAGCTGACTTTTTCTAGGGATTTTTTTTTACAAGCCCTGCTAATGTGCTAATTCAAGAAACAAGAAGCCTGAATGCACATCCCTGGCCTCCAGTACAAACCGCAGCCACTACAACAATTCACTAGACCAAGTCATGTTTTTGTTTCACAATTCTAATATTTGCCAAAGAAAAATGATTGAATTTTTTTCACTGTTCCAAAAATAGCAGCCCATTTTTCTCCTGATTTATGAAATACCGCTTATTTAAACAGTAATATATTAAGATGCAATCTATTATAGAATACTGTAACTATATATTTTTTTTGTGAGAGATAGTTGTACAATAAATTAGAAGCATCCAACCCCTCATGTATAGAATTACAGATTTTTAGATACAGTTTTATTTCCAAACCTGTGCTGCTGGACCTAATCCAAACCCCACAGAACTCAATGGAGAGACTCCCATTGACTTAAGTGGGATTTGGATCAGGCTCATTAGAGTGTTGTCTGATGGCAAAATTCTGCTCAGTACCAGGCATAATTTTAACAGTCATTGCAAACTACATGAAGCCCTTTCCACCCAATAAATAAATAAATAAATGTACGTGAGAAGATCATCCCAGTGATAATTTACCCAGACAAAGGGCTGTTTTTTAAGCTTTTATAGAAAAGCAGGTTTAAGACTAATTTCCAGTTCTTCTGCCTGAGGAGTAAGGTTTATAATTCCTACAGAATAATAATAAATAACAATAAAGACTAATAACATTCTTGACAGGGAAAATTTAGAAAATAAGAACTGCAGTTGCAGGAATGACTGGTAAAATTATGTAATTGACACTAACCTGAAGATATAGGTTTAGACAAAATGTATAATGGGGAAATGACGGATTAAGCCTTTGAGAGTATAAAGAGGCTTTCATCTACTTCTGATTCCAACAAAGATGAGGAGATTATTTTATGACATAATTTGACAAATTGATGCAAGAATTATGCTGATAAAAGAAAATAAGAGTCACAAGTTAAAAATATCAGAGGGGTAGCCGTGTTAGTCTGGATCTGTAAAAGCAGCAAAGAGCTAAAAATACATTGTTCCAAATACATTTGAGAGGGACACATAGAACAAATGCAGCTAAAGATAGCAAAATTAATGCATTTTTATTATAATGCTGCTTGAATTTAGTTTTTCACACCTTTGTCCTTTTATTTTAATACACAAAGAAAACATTTTGTGTCATACAACAGCCTCAAAGTTAGAAATGAAAGTAACTGATGAAGGCTAGACAATTTCAGTAAAAAATGCTTCATTGGAGAAGTTAAAATAAAAGGCACTTTGCAAAAATTATTTTGCTATGTCCCAGATCCTTTTACACATCTATCTAGTCTAAA